AAATATGCTGAATTCACTAGTGTGTATTACGCAGGCTTCCTGGAGGGACATTATGAAGAAAAAGACAGAAAATGTGCTGTTTATATAACAGTTTGATTTTACATGCTATGCATGCCCCCCCCTGCCAATTTACTGCCCTCGGTAGAATGCAAGGCTGAGTCAACCTCAAACAAGCTGCACAAGTCCAGGATCAAACTCAAGTTGTGAACAGAATCTAACCACTGTGCCACAAGGCTCCTGATAGTAACATTATGGTACAGTTTAGTTAGTCACACACCATGGGAATCTTTTTAATGTTTTCTTGTCTATTGTAGTTAGGGATGGAACTCCTGTATTATTATTATTATTTTTTTTGGACTACATTTGTTGTTGTTGTTTGTTTGTTTGTTTTTGGACTACAACACACAGAAGTCTTCAGGAATTGCCCCAGTCAGAATTCTGGCTGCTTTAGTAGATATGTTTATTATACATAATATACAAGTTGTATTTATGTAGTATATAAGTTGATTAAGGGAAAATCTATTGGACAGATTTTAGCAGATTTAATCAATACACAACTCCACATATTAATAATTTGGAACTCTGTTATTCTGTGACAGTATTCGTATGGAGTTTGGTGATCATGATAGCAAGTTATTAAGGCTCTCAGACAGGAGACTTCCCCAGCTACAGCTGGAGACAGATGCCAGGGGCTCTGCCTGGCACTTTTCTGTGCAAACAATGTGATATACCAGTGATCAATGAACACTAACCATCCACCAGTGGGGGCCACCTCTTCCTTCCCAACTTTATCACCAACTGCTGGTGCTCCTCCTTTTCCTCATAATTCCTTCCACCTTCTAGCTTGCCAGACAGAAAACCAATTGGCAGCCAGGGAGTGTCCATTCCTGCTCCTGCTTTTCACAAAAGGACACCAGGCTTCATGTGCAGCAAAGGATATCCTGAAAGTGGAAGACACCAATGCCAGCAGTCAAGGTGGTCTACAGGATCCCTTCCTCTGATCACTGCCATTCACAAAGAGACTTGAAGGAAGGGAAAATCCCAGAACGTGACTCCATTTTTCGTTAGTTTCATGAGCCAACCTGCCTTATTTTAGGACTTCCTCCCTTTCTACTACCTACCACACTTTTCTCAGCAAAATTGTGTTCTCTGGTCAGTACTGTATTGCCATTATATGTGTGTGGTAGGGTAGTCAGAACATCTTAGTACTGCAGAGCTGGAAGGGACCCTATGGATCATTGAGTCTAGCCCCTGTGAAGGAGGCACAGTGGGGAACTGAACTCCTAACCTCTGGCTTCACAGCCAGATTCCTAAACCACCAAGTTTACTCATTTTTTGCTCTAGAGGAGGTTCAGGCTTGACTTGATTGAACATCAACTTTTCTACTTTTCTGGCTTAAGGCTGAAAAAGAGTTGATTTCTGTCCATCTACTTCACGATTTTTCTTTCACACAGTATGGATGAGTTAGATTTCCAGTGATAGTCTTTGCTAACTCCAAGCTGCCCCCCCTTTTTTTCCTTCAAAAGATGAGAAAACAGTTTTAGGTTTTTTTGTGGGGGGAAACATGCGCACAACATATTTGTAGAGCTTTTGGTCAACTGTAGTTTTTCTTTCTCAGCTTTCCTAACTCAAATAAAGGATTTGGAAACTGGAACACAACTTTCTAGGCTGCATTCGGTAAAGTGATCATGGCAACATTACCTGAAAGGTTAAAGGGTGTGAATGTTTCTCCATTGTATGTGTTGTACCTACTCACACCTTTGCTTCATCATTTCATTAAGGCCAAAACAACCTTTCAAAATATTTTGGCAAGGAACTGTAGCCATGTCCCAGCTGTTCTTGCTTTTAATTCTCCTCCAGCAGCCATTACATCTGTTCATGCTGTACAGATCATGTGCTCATCATCTGGGATCCTCTAGCACTGGGTAATTCTACATGTGAAGTTTCTGTTAGAATTTGTTTGTCGTATATGTATACTTAAACTTCTGTTTTTAAAAGCCCGGAAATTCAGTTCTTAAAAATCCCTCGGATTTATGAATGAGGAATATTGCACATATGTATCCACAATTCAAAAATCCAGGAAGTGGCCCAATATTGCTGCAAAATATCGTGCCTGTGTTGGTATCAGGAAAAGAGATGTCAAGCTTTACATAGCAAAAGGTGGCCTGAATGTTGACAACACCAATGTCAGCGGTCAAGATGGTCTACAGGATACCCTCTTATGCTGACTATCATTCACAAAATGATACCAAGCAAGGAAAAATCTCAGAAAGTGACTTCTTTATTCATTAGTTAATAACTTCTCATGCAAACCCAAGCAATTGTTATGAACAGTTTAGGTGAAAAGGTTGACAGGTTCTCTAGGCACTTATTGTTTGGAGCACAAGGCAATCTGAATACCCAAAGGAAATCCTCTGTGCAGTATGGATGTCTGAGTTGCCATCAAACACTGTGATAAAACATGCTCTTTACAGGGGGCTGCAAATGAGGCTGCAACGGAAACATCAACATGTCAAAAATATGGTGGGCAGAGTAGTGTGTAGAGGAACTAAATACCATCGTATCTCCCCTCATCCTAGCCATCTTGCATTGGCTAACCATCTGTTTCTGTGCCAGCTTCAAGGTGGTGACATTGATATACAAGGCCCAAAATGGCTTGCAACCTTGATACGTGGCAGAACACCTTCTTCCAATGAGATCTGCCTGACCTACTCAATCCTCCCAGGCTAGACAGTTAAGGACACTGACCCCGAGAGAGGCCCGAAAAAAGAAGACCATAAACTGAGTCTTCTCAGTGGTTGCACCACATCTTTGGAACAAACATCCACCTGAGGTATGCCTGGCCCCTTCACTGGGGACATTTAAGAGATGCTTGAAAAGTCAAAATTTTAGACAGGAATTTCAAGATAGTACATCAAGAGAGTACAGAGGGGTTTTTTTCAGCTCTTAAGTCACCAATTCAACCATCTTACTGTATCTGTATTGTTTTCTATGGGTTTTTTCTTTTAAAGTTCAATTGATTGATTTCTTTTTATTCTGATTTTTATATTGCTATTATGTTTATGCAATTATTATTTAATGTATTATTGTTATTTTATTTTTGTGTACCACCCAGAGTAGCCTTAGTAGCCATATGGGCAGTATACAAATTGAATTTAAAAATAAATAATATAACTTGTTTGTAGTGACCAACATACAGTGCTGATGGTCAATCATACATATGGGTGAACTGACCATTGATCTGATTGTAAATATTTATGTCACGTGGCTCTGAGTTCAGTGTCTGGACTTGGTGGGCTCCTTTTTCTCATCTACATGAAGAACCATCCTGCTCTCAACTGGCAACAGCAGAACTTGAGTTTAATAGCTGCTGCTTGGTAGCTGGTGCTACTGCTCTCATTTTTGACTGTGAAGTGCATCTGTATGCTAAATGCGAGATGATGGTTCATTAATTTCTGTATTGAGGAGGTCAGAGGAATAGTTGGCATTATTTAATTTTCCATGAGTCTTGTCAGGAGACAGCAAATAGTAACTCAGGAAGGGGGACATATAAACATGATGCCTACAGGAACATAGATTCTGCAACAAAAAAGTCAGAGACTCATAGATTCCTGAAATACCTTCCTAAAATACCTAGATAACTTGTTGAAAAATATGACAATTGCTTTGTGTTTCAGTAAGAATTGATTAACTGATGAAAAGAAAGGAACGAAGTTATGGAGTTTAGTATCTCTTTGTGAGTTGTAGTGAGCACTAAACGGGAGAACCATCCTGCTCTCAACTGGCAACAGCAGAAGTTGAGTTTAATAGCTGCTGCTTGGTAGTTGGTGCTACTGCTTTCATTTTTGACTGTGAAGTGCATCTGTATGCCAAATGCGAGATGATGGTTCATTAATTTCTGTATTGAGGAGGTCAGAGGAATAGTTGGCATTATTTAATTTTCCATGAGTCTTGTCAGGAGACAGCAAATAGTAACTCAGGAAGGGGGACATATAAACATGATGCCTACAGGAACATAGATTCTGCAACAAAAAAGTCAGAGACTCATAGATTCCTGAAATACCTTCCTAAAATACCTAGATAACTTGTTGAAAAATATGACAATTGCTTTGTGTTTCAGTAAGAATTGATTAACTGATGAAAAGAAAGGAATGAAGTTATGTATTTTAGTATCTCTTTGTGAATTGTAGTGAACACTAAAGGGGATCCTGTAGACCATCTTGACAATTGATATTAATGCAGTCAGTATTCAGACTGGCCCTTGCCAGTAAAAGCTTGACATCTTTTTTCTACTGGAAGCACAGGCACAATATTGTAAGGCAGTGTCAAACAATTTTCTGGTCTCTGTATATCTGTTGCTTCTCTCTCTCTCCTTTCTTTTTTTTACACACACTCTCTGTGGCTGCTCTTTATCTTTGCGTCTGTTCTCTTTCCATGTGGCTTCTCTCTCCCCTCTCCCTCTCTCTTTCTGTGTGCAATGACACTTCCTATAATAAAGGTGAAATCCTGATTTACTCTCTGCCCTAGCAATCATTACCCTTCACCTCAATGATTCAAGAACCACTTCAAAAGTTACAACTTCCTGCTCAGTCTTTCTACTCCTATCAGGAAGCTTATGGCAAGCTGAGTTAGACTGGTAACACAATATCTAATTCACACATGCATCTTCCCTTGCATAGTAAATAGCAGTGAGCAAGCAGTTGTTGACACTGCTGGTGATGGTGGTGAAAAAAGAAGTCCAGGAAGAAGCTGTTGTCCGTGAGTCCTTTATGGAACAAATAAGTGTTCAGCCATAGACCGAGACAATATTTTGTCATTCAACTTAACAATAACATTTGACTTGACTCCACAACATATGTCTGGACCAAATGATACACTCTTTGCTGTGCGCTTACTTCGTTACATGAAGTCAAAATGTTTTTGACTGCTCTCAGACTTATTGGAAGAGTGAAACTGTAAAAAAAAACCCAATATCTTTTGAATTATTCTTTATATTTCAGGTGGGATAAGGGCTATGCAAGATTTACTACACCTTCAGGACCCATATTTCCGTTCACGTGCCCAAGGATCCATCAGTTCTACAAGTGTTGCATTTGAGGAGAAGTAAGACTGGTTATTTCTTTGGTTTATTACAATATTTCTATACTGCTCTGTGTCTGAGGTTCCCAGAAGGAACTTTGTTTCCTGGTTTGGATTCATGGAGAAATGAGGTGGGAGTGAAAAAAGAGATGGACCATTCTCCTTATTTTAAGGTTGCCCAGGATTGTATTGATAAGTTATGCTTGGCAGCTGTACTTTGCTCCTACTTAAGAAATTGAGGCTTGTATTCCTTGTCATGTGAGTTGGTGAATGTCAAGTGAAAAGAGCGGCAACTTGTTAACCAGCAGCAATTTGCCACTGCAAGTTAAGCCATTGCACTTATATCAGTATAAGTAATCAATGGAATTTTGACCATTATGGTTCAAGAGCCCTTTCCCCCTTCAAAAGAGGTGGATTTGGTTGGCAGTGGTTGGCACATTTATCTCAATTTCTAGTGATACATATGGGAGTTCCATGCCATATTATGAGCTATGTCCAATTCACCCTGAAATCAGTCCTGGTTTGTAATGGGCTTCTCAGCTGCTGTCCAACAGCTTCTTCTTCTCAAGCTTACTAGTGACATGAGGGTTTCTTTGGGGTTCATGTTTAAGTAGTCTGTCCTATTGAAAGTGTTGAGGAACATCTTTTCTCCCCAGGAAGAGTAGGACTTATAGCTACAAGGTAAGTGGAAATTGTAACTTTCTGTGCTCTGGATCAATTAACTCTGAACATGTCCCAGCTAGGGGTCACGGTAGATGACATATTTAACATGCTTCTGGAAGAGGTACTCCCTAAAAATTGTGATTTTTTTTGTCATAGTTTGTGATTTTCTTCTCTTTCATATCCTCTGCTATGTGTGTTTTGCTTTGAGATAGATCACTCAAGTTAAATGCTGGGTTAATTTCCTAGTCTGACTGGTAAGGATTTTCTCTGAGAAACTCCCACCATGGGAAGAAAATTGTGTTAATTTATTTATTTATTTATTTATTTAATTTATACCCCGCCTATCTGGTCGGTGAGGACCACTCTAGGCAGCTAACAACAATAAAATACAATAACAATATAAATAAGCAATTCTAATTAGTAAAAACACTACAATACATTATATAGAGTGCAAAACAGAAACAGTAAAGAGGGAAGAAGGAGGTCAAGAGGAATATGATGGAAAGGCCTGCCCAAACATCCATGTCTTCAATTGTTTCTTAAAGATACCCAGCGAGGGAGACCCGCGAATCTCAGGAGGGAGATTGTTCCAGAGGTGAGGAGCCACCGCCGAGAAGGCCCGATTTCTTGTCTTCTCCTTCCGGGCCTCCCTCGGCGTTAGGCTCCTCAGCCTCACCTCCTGGCTCGCACGAGTGACACAGGTAGAACTTGTTGGGAGTAGGCGTTCCGCCAGATATCGAGGCCCTAAACCGTTTAGGGCTTTGTACGTAAGCGACAGCACTTTGAAGTCGATGCAGAATCGTATGGGCAGCCAATGCAATGCGGCCAGAGTGGGTGAGATATGTTGGAATTTCCTCACTCCACTAAGTAATCTGGCCGCCGCATTCTGCACCACCTGTAGTTTCCGCAGCAGCCTCAAAGGAAGCCCCACGTAGAGCGCATTACAGTGGTCTAATCTTAATGATAGGAAATATTATTCCCATTAACATCTAGATTGTGTAGCAGAGTTTTGGATTTCTAGTTAAGTTCCTCAGCTTTGCAGAAAAAACTGTAAGGATTCACAGAGCAAAGTAGCTTAATCTTCCCTGGATTAGTCCCCTTTTCACATTAACTGGCACTTGCAGTCTCAATAACTCACTCTGAAAAGGTTTCACTACTTACAATTTAACAGATCAACTAGCAAACTGGCAAACACGACTGCTTTCAAAGACAGACTTCAGTAGTCTGTAGAGATAGAAAACACTCTCAGCAGAGAGGTGGGGCTCTCCTTGAAATCAGAGGCAGGGAAGGAATGATTGGTTAGTGCTGGACAGATTGACCGTAAAGTCAGCCCGGACAGGTCCCTCCCAGCCATACCTACTCAAGGAAGCATGTGAATCTGCGGGGGCAGGGGGAACCCTCCAGTAGATTGTCCCTCAGGCTTGACATGCAGGAAACAGTAAGAAGAAGAAGCATGAATAGAGATGTGTTTCTTTTTCAGAAAGTGTATGTCCAGCAGAACAGAGCTCAATCCCATCAAAAATTGAATGTTCTCAATTCATTTTCAGTGGCTTAGCTCCTGATGTGCAGCTCTGCATGTATAACTCAAATTCGTGGAAGTGCTAGGGAGAATCACAGAAAGTAGACGTGATATCCATGTAAGATTTGCATAGCCATGTTGCACAATAGTCATGTTGTATTGCCGGATTAATTGCACAATCAAATTGGAGAATGCTGCACAGCCTGCAGATGTTATGTTGTTACATAAGCTTCAACAGGATTTAGGGAAGGAAGTTGTACAATGCAGTTCGTGCCGGTTCGTTTATCAGCCCAGCGGGTGTTTGGTGCTTCAGAGCCCTGCCTCCCCCAGCAGGTGCCCATAAAGAGGCAGCACCCAGAGGAGGTCGAGTAGGGAAGCCAGGCTTCTGCCTCTGAATGGGCACCCATCAGAGGAGTCAGGGCTTTGAAGCACCAAACTCCTCTTTGGCTGGTAAACAAACTGACATGGAGTGCTCGACTGTTTATCATTAATGGCTATATTCCACATTTCTATCTAATATTCATTTAACTGGAGATTGTACTTATTTTTCCAATTCTTTGCTCTTATCATTCTAGCTGCTGTTACTAAATTTATTTATTTATTTATTTATTTATTTATTTATTTATTTATTTATTTATTTTATTTATTTATTTATTTATTTATTTATTTATTTATTTATTCAACTTATATGCCGCCCACACTACCCAAATTTGTAATCAGTTCTTTAGTTAGGATTATTTGTGATTGAAATCCACCCCAAAGGTTCTGTTTGCCCCAAAGGATAAATTGAACATATGTTCAGAGGTGGGGAAAATTGCCTTCTGGACGACAGCTCCCGGAATCTTACAACCAACATAAACACTGGTTGTGCCAACTAAAAGATTCTGCAAAAAAGGAACATTTTCCCACCTCTTCATTTAGCTATCTACAGTCATTCAGGACAGAGGTAAATATTGTGGTGGCCATTTAAATATACACAAACATAGAAATACAAGTAAGTAAATGCACACACACACACACACACAGAGAGAGAGAGAGAGAGAGAGAGAGAGAGAGAGCAATTGGCCCAGTCTAGTTAGAAAGCAAATGATCATTAAATTTGTAGCATAGTTTTATAAACCGCTCCCCCCCACATGACATAATTTCAAGAAGGCTGGAGAATAAAGGTCTGCTCTCAACCTGCTGAAATATCATTATTAAAATGTGCATGAAAAGTCAATTATGCCAGAGGGAGGTATTTAAGAGAAGCAAGTTTCCATACCGTGGGATTACACCTTGGGGATTACAGATACCGCTGAAGTCTTTGCAGCTGTTTAACTTAAAAGAGGAGAGGATTGTTGCTGCCAGGTGTTCTATAGCACTCACAAGAGGAAGGCAAACACTGAGGGAAGCCATTGTTCCTTTGGCCCTTGAAGCTAACTCCAGCCATCAAATAGCAGAGAAAGTGATTACTCTAGTGAGACAAGAGTATTATGTCCAGTATTATTCAGGGTTTGTTTGTTTTTGTTTTGTTTTTTTAAAGCCTCATTGACAGAGAACTGGTCATCTTTTGCAGACTATAAAAGTTTTTAAAAGTTCCTTTTCCAGATTACAATTCCTCGAATCCTTCAGATAGCATAACCACTTGCAGGAACAACTGAAAATGCAAAGACAGCATTGGATCGATTTTAAAAAACCAGAGTGCTTTTACAGATCAGTAGTCAGATTTTACATATAGCGTAGGAGTTCTTAGTGACAATGAATTCAAAATAAAAGATAAAAGGACTCACTTTGAAATGTCCTCTCAGCTACTTGGCATAATGGGAACTAGAGACAGGGACAAAATGAGCCATGAAGCATAAAAGCCCATGAATCGGACTATTTTGTGGTTTGTTTAAGGCACCATGGGGAAACATGCTTGCCCAGAATGAAACAAAATGCCAAACTATTATTGAACTTTTTGTGGTTTGTATGATTCGAGACTTCCAGGAGTGGAAGCCAGCTGCTAAAGACCACTTCCCTGGGGGGATATGTTTTGGGGGGCTATAAGTTGAATGTTCCAAATACAACCTTTGCCAAATTTGTAGAGAGTTGGGAAGTCAACTAAGGTCTCACTACAAGTTTGGCAACTCTGGTCCTGGTCACACTGCCAAAACACTTGGGATTTGACTTGTGTTAAGAACTGTACGGAGTTTCACATTCACACCATGAATTCAAAAGTGCATATTTATTTTCCCCTGGTTTGTTTCATTTTCTTAGGAAGTGATTTATAATAAATGACCATCAGAGGGCCGTTTATTTTAGCATGCTGATTTTTTAATCAGTTTAGCCAGTTGTGATCTGAATAGCCGGTTTTAAAAGGGAGCCTCTCCATGTGTATCCAATATAAGACCACCAGGTGGAGCTCTAATGAACTTTCCCGCCTCTTTTGTGGAAAAAGTTCTCAGTACATTAACAGAAGAAGTGGGAAAACAGGAAACAGCTCAAAAACTGCATGACAAGTCAGTTTAAAAATCAAAATGCTACATATGGATTTGTAAAAAATGTAGACAGGCTCTTTAATTAACACAGGGCATGTTGTATTACTCCTGTAATTTAATTCCTAAATTACATGACCCATAAAACAGTTTATTTTGTTGGAAAGTTTGTGAAAGTTTGTGGTTTGTAGTTTGTGAGTAGTGACAAACCACAAACCATCATGAACCACAGTTTGCACCCATCTCTAGTGGGAACCCAAGAACGTTAAGGAAACTGCTTTGGACCAAAGGCTTAGTTTCGCATACTGTCCCCACAGCAGCCAGCATTACGTAATACTATTTGTAGTGTATTGTTCCATGAATTAGCTTAATTCTCATTTAAAATC